TAAAATAACCATGTGCTTGATAGTTGCAACAAGACCCTTTGCTTGTGTGAAGGAGGGAGGTCATTATGTGTTGCTGAAATAATCTGTCACTTACCTCTAATCAGCTGTCCGCTTGACTGCATCTCACAGCTGAGGCACTGCACCAGGACTTTGAATTCAGCTCTTTCCTTGTCCATAGGTTTAAGTCATTACATACTTTTTTGATAAAATATAGAAAACTTATTCCTCAGTGATGTCTAAAGAGAACAAGGTATTCCGTTGCATGTAAAACTCACACCAACTGCATGTGATTACAGGTATACCAGCGTCTTTGAAAATGAGACCAAAAGTGATCACATCTGTGGCTGGAAATGTGGGACAGTTGGAGTTTATTTTAAAGATGATTCAACTGGTTTTGCATGGCTTCCAATTATATAGATCATATTTCAGTTAATAAAATGCACATCTATTGAAATTTGGCAGAACGAACTATGTCAAGTTTGCGATCAGTGAAAGTTCCATAAACAAAGGACAAAAAGACACATGGCTCCCCCACCCCAAACATGACCTGTTTCATAATTCAAAAACCAGGCTGTTATGAAGAGCAAGGAATTGACTTTTTTTTTGCTGTTAAAATCTATTTTAAAGGTAAAAAATCAAGTCTAGACTTAGACAACACAAAGACTAAAGTAAGATACCAAATGAGGACCCATTCCAGAGTCATCCACCCCTTTACCATCGGTTGTCTACGCTACCTGCCTTCTGTCTTACTGGCTGTTTATTCCAAACTTCACACATAAGAACCTTTCTACAAAAGCAAAGAAACAAATCTAGGTGTTCATAAGCACCATGAAGTGAGTCTGGATATGGGTGTCTACCACCAAACAGCTGTCCCGTGTTCATTTGATGAATTGGAATTTGAGATGCCAGTACTGGACTTTAAATAGTTCATTGAGAGTGCACAGAAAAAGAACAGCTCTATTTTGCATACATTGAGGAGGATATTTCCCTGGATATTTGTGATGGGAACTTCCTCTAGGTAGTTCTCATCTGCAAGATTTTTATTTTTGGCAAGACTTTGGGGAGAGGGTACTGCTGCCCTCATACCATAAATGCTTTCTCCAATCACATAATGCAACAGGCAACCTTTACTTATCCCTTCTATCTGCCTGCTGTCATTACACAGACTTCATTCAAGCAAGCATCTTACGGAAGGAGAAGAAAGGGAATTTTTAAAATTGTTACATATCCCTTCTGAAAAGAAGGCTGAAATTTTCATTTTATTCATTTCACTGCTTTAATTTTTGCAGTTTGGGGGGTAGGAGGAGAAAGAAGAAATAGTTGTGTTGCAATGCTAATGAGCACATTTACAAGGCTCTACCAGAAACTCTGTGCTTCAGCTTGCTTTTATTAGCCATTTTGGAAGATGTCTTCGTTGCAGTTGCACAAAAAGCATTGTCAGGGCTTTTACATTTTCTCATTTAGAATAGTATGACATTATTTGGAAAGGGGCTAGTTCTACAGCACATAAGCCGGTATCACTATTGTATAACACAGCAGCTAGACTCATTTTGCAGTGTGATTACAAAACCCATCACAGTGAATTATACAGCAAGTTAAATTGGTTTCCACCTTCTGCGAAGTCAGAATATTATCTTTCACAAATAGTGTACAAATGTAGAAATAATACAAGTCCAACTTATCTGAACGATAGATGACAGAGAGCTTCCACTGCTCACTCCATCAGTACTCTTTATCTGCTGCTAATGACACCTGCTACATTCTGAAAGCAAACTCTAATAATGCTGAACACTCCCACTTTTTTTTTTTTTTCTTTTACAAAGCTTAATTTACTAGGACATTCTGCCACTGCTAAAAACTTTCCAAATTTGTAACATAATTTTTAAAGGACCCAGTTTTCACTTTTCTTGGTCAGAAATACTTGTGAATGTGTGTTGCTACTGAATATTCTTCTTCTTAAAAAAAAAAAAAAAAGCACCATCTTGGCTTTAGAATTTTCAGCACAATTTAAAATACAGAAACAGTCCTTTGGTATAAGTAACCCAGACTATTCACTGTAAGCCTTCCTATGACAAATTTTTGTATTGCTTCTGTCATGTTTTTTATTTTTTTATGCAGCACCTGAACTCGTTCAAGTAAAAATACAGTGCTCTGACTACATCTGAAAAGGAAGTCACTTGCATACAGTTGTTTGTCTGGTTTTTTTTGTTTTGTTTTGTTTTAAACACAAATAGAACTGGTTTTTTTTTTGTTTTGTTTTGTTTTAAACAGAAATAGGACAGTAAGAGAGAAGGAAGAGAGCTTGGTGAACTTAACTATCCTGGCCTACCCACTTGTTTCCAGTCACTGAACACACCAGCTGAAATAGACCTATGTGGTCTTAATTAATTTACTTCCTAAATTACGTTCACAATATTACAGGAAATAGACCTATGTGGTCTTAATTAATTCCTAAATTACGTTCACAGTATTACAGCTCAGAATAGGTGAACTGGTGGAGAAAAGGGGCAGGGAAAAGGAGAGAAACAGTCAAATAGCTCAATTAAAACTGAAATAATATCCTGAGAAAATCAGACACAAAACCAGACTAGCTGCCAAGGTTTCCTCCAGCTGGACAGACCTTGGAGAAGCTTTCTAAGCCCCTTTATCCATTTCTAGAATGCAATGACCATGCAGGCTATTAAAAAAACTTGCCACATGCATATGTAGATACATCCAACTGCATGGACATAGTATAGGTGATTTATTTTTCTCTGTATATTAAAATCAGCAGATCCATCTCTAGCAGAGCTGTACAAATAAAGTTACTTTGAACATACTATTTTGCAGATGTTCTGTCTGTTCTCCGGATTGAGAATTGTTACTGCTGCACTGCAACGTAGTTGACGGTATTTGGAGTTGCCATAGTGTTAAATCTTTCTCCTGTGATCAGCAACTGCTGATTTAAATGAAAATCTTCAGCCATTTTCCCTCCTGTATATTTCATGGCAATTTCAAATTAATCATAGGCAAAAAGGTATAAATTATACCAGGTGTAAAATGTGTTGTGTCTAAATGAGCTTTCCATGATTTGATGGCAGCACACAAACAGCACACAAGCAGCATATGCTTTCAGTTACTGTAAAGGACAGGACATGATGAAGACCTTTAGTCATCTGAGTTATAATTCATACATTCATACACACATTCACTTCACAGTACTTGCACATTGAAATGCCTGAGCTGAATTTTGTGTCTGGACCATGTCCAGGCCAAAAACTTAAAATTCCAGCTTTTATGTGTGGGGTGATTTACTTTAACAGTTCTGACGAATGAGTATGAGCCACAGCTAGGTGAAGGCAAGCCAGAATCAATGGGACTCCAAGGCCCTTGGCACTTGCAAAAGATTTTGATAATTTAATTCTCAGATTTATCAGTATTAATAATTCTAATTTAATGCATTTTCCTTGTCACTTACAATGACTCAATCGCTAATTAAATGTTGTTGAAAAAGATGAATTACCATTTTACATGCTTAAAAAGAATGTCACTAATATGTCTAAATCTAGAGGTGGAATGTAGAATGATATGATTCTAATCCCCCTAAATACTGTTGTTATCCAAAACAATCTTATACAGAATTAATTTAGTTGCCAAAAAAAGGAGCAAGTACTGGAAAATGGAATGATCAACATTTAACCCTCTAACGTGTATTGGTATAAATTTAATATTCAAATTACACAGAATTAGTTTGTAGAATTAATCATTTCCCTTTGGTGGGATAGCAATGACTTCATGAGACAGCACGTTGCTATTGACAGATCAAAACTTAATTATTTTTTTCCTCCCATTTGCATTGTAGATATCCATGTTTAAAACCTGTATAAACACACAATTTATAGCTATGCCCACCAGTAGCAGATACCTTCTCTTTTTGACTGACAACGATGAGATTTCTGTCATGCTTTGCCTCTCCTACGGTGCCAGTGATGGGATTTTTTTCCTTGAAATCTTATTACTGAATGCACTGTCATGGTCTCAGATGGAACTTTCAATCAAAAAGGCAATCAGAAGGTTATCTATTTGTGAGTTTTCCTACAAAAGAGCTTTGCAAACCTCTACAGTGTATACTGTAACTCATAGTCAGAGCTACTTGCCCTAAACGTTTATGTGACTATAGACAATAATGTGATCCATATCTCACAGCACCTTCCTTTGCTCCCAGGAGTGGGATGTAGAATAGAAATTGGCTCAGTCTAAGTTTCGAATCAGACTTTTGCATTTACACTACTATCAGATTTGGCATGGCAATTCAGAACACCCTGGCACTTGGTACAAGTGATTAGTAAGAATGTGTTTGACTGTCATTACAGTCTGTTACATAAATATGTTTGATTCCATTGAAATCTGAATGACAGATTCTTTTCTATCTTAAGATGACTTCACTGTTTAGTTTATAGTATTACCAAAATCGCCAAAGTTATTGAGATACATTTTCAGTGTAACTTGAATGAATTGTATACTCCATTAATTTTTATAAAATCTTTATAATACATATAGAAGTGGTATTAGCATATCAGTTGTCTGCAAACTAGAGTCATTAAAACTAACCATGCTGCAGCTAAAGAAAAGTAAATATTTCCATTTTGAAATACAGGCAAAATTGGGGGTAATGCATTAAGATATTTTTGTTTGCAGAACAAACATTACTGAGGAGCTTAAAGACAGGGGATTGTTTTTACTACCAATACTTTAACAAAAAGTGTGTGAGGTTATTTTTCAGCATGGCACAGTGAATTAGACACACATAACTCTTGTGGTCACAGGCTGCTGCATATCTAATTCTGCAAATGCTGTCAAAAATTGCTTCATATATTATCCTTTTTTATTTTGACTGTATTCAAGTAATAAATGAATTATTTTGAAGGAACTACATTCCTCAATAAACTATGAAGTTATTCAGGAAGTCTAATTTCTGCACTGCACAGGTAAAACTGAAAGAAAAGCAGTAACAAGAAAAGTATTTATAAAAATATATTTCACAAAGTAGGAAACAATACAGGAGTTTCTCTGAATACAATACATGGAGTAAATAAACAAACAATAATATAGCTTCAAAACAAAGTAGAAAATTAAAATGATTTGCATGTAATACGTCATTTTATTATACAATTGCTACTTCTAAATGGCAAGTTTGCATTACAAATTGAGTATGCTTGCAGCTTCTAGTGTTCTTTCTCTGTGTGCAAGAGCCCTGGTGCATCACTATGAATATTATAGAAAAGAAATGCTAATAACATAAGCAGTAAAATTATGTACACACTGGTTCCTGCTCTAATACAGTGGAGAACTATAAGCATGTTTTGTACTGTACTGTGTTATGTGTGGATTTCTAAAAGTCTATAGTTTAAATATTCACATGAACCAGTTTAGTTCCAGCTGTTTGTGCTTGTATTAAAAACACCAGGTACTAGATTTATGAAGACGATATAAAACTGTCAAAAGTTTTCTCTGGGAAAGTTTTATTCCTGCCAGCATTCTCTTAAAATTCAGCTCCTGCAAATGGACAGGTTACCACTTTAACCTGCAACAATTTGTCATTTTTCATTTCAAAATGTACATGTATTAAACATTCATTATATATAGAAAAAAAAATCTAACGGATATAACTTAGTTTTCTTCATAATCTTACTCTATAGATTATCAGTCTTAATAAATAAAAGCAGTAATGGACATCAATAAAATATTTATTTAAAAGATTAAACAAATAAATTCAATCTTTAGCAATAAAATCAGCAATTCTTTCATACATGTAAGTCCATCCCCTTTCACAGTTTTTTTTCCTTTCAGAAGACGAAGCACAGGACTGATCCTTCTTCTATAAAAAGATCCTTTTGTAAAGCAGGGTTTTGTGGCCCTGCTTCTGAATCTCTGCACATTAGTAAGATTTATTATCCATCACTGGAATGGATTAAGAACATGTGAATATTTTAAGGCTTGATACAATATTTAAAGATGATATTCAGTCTGTGGTTACGTGGCCAACAATTACTGTATGTACAATGCATGGTCACTGCACAGTAGAAGCCAGTAAGAATTTACAATGCTATTTCTATTCAGCATTGCTAAGAAGACCAAGATATTGCTTTTAACATTTCTGTGGCGGGATCTTTGTTGGCTATGCAGAAACAAATCATTAGCTTTACACATACTGGCAGGAGATACTGTTCTACAGCAAAATCCCTGCAAGTCCATTTTCTAAGAAAGCACCAATTTCTTTTTGTTCTTTTCAATTCACTGAAGATAATCAAAGATCCAAATCTCCATCTTCAGAGTGGTCAAGTGAATATCAAATATCCAAAGACTTCTAGACACTCCACATACTTTACTTCACACTCCACAAGACTTAACCTCCTAACATATACTTTTTTTTTTTTTGGTTCAACATTACAATGTAGTTGATTTTATAGATGACTGGCGCTAAACTTGCCTCTAAAACAAAAAGCCACATCAGTTTTAACTAACAGCAGTGGCCCTAGAATATTACATGATCATTAAGTCAACAGTGAAAAAGTTCGTAATCCACTGTCAAGTTTCTTTGTCACTTTCTCCAACTGAGTAAAGTTCTCCAAGTCTTTTAAAGCGAGGACCCCATTCACTGAGGTAGTCAAAATTCTGATCTGAGTCTGATGTGGAGGACTCCAATGAGCTAAGGGAACCAGCCGCTGACCCTCTTCCTTCATAGCCATAAATCTGGATAGAGTCATATGGTGGAGCCGTGGGATCATTATCAGCTTCATGGAGCCTGACATTAATAAATTCATCGACATCAACACCATTAGGCACAGGTGCAAGACCCTGCCTGGGCATAAATTGAAGATCAGGCTTAATATCCTTACGAGGCAAAAATCCATTAATTCCATCTGGATTTTGCAAAGTTGCAATGTCAAAAGCTTCTGTATCTTCTTCTCCACCTCCTTCATCATCGTAGCGAATAATATTTTCCCTCACATCTTCATCATCTTTGATGATTAGAGGCTCATTTTTATGTCTTCTTAGTGTTACAAACAGCACCACAATGACTGCAAAGAAAGCATTAGGCTGATTAGGTAAAAAGTTTCCAATCAAAACACTACTTGTTAAGCACAGTTGTGGAAGGCGATAGGTTGCTTTTTTGTGAAAATACGAGTCATAATTGCAGTGAAAAACTGAAAGGCCTATAATTTCGACTTCAAGTGATGAAAATTTGATCAGAAGCTCTGGCTAGCCCTCTAGTTTTCTATTACCTGCTCATATTTACATCTGAAGGTCAATTTTAGATAAACAATAAAATTTCATATACTACCATTTTTGAGGCTCAAATTTAGACAACAACTTTTCCCTTTGGAGAATTTACAAACCTAGGTGAAATCAAGCTATCACCACTCACTGAATATAGTCTATAATGATCTGCATTATGGGTGGATTTTTCCAAAATTAGAGGGTGTTTTTCTGAAAACATAGCCCTGATGACAGAAGGAAAATGGTGTCTTTTTTTTTTTTTTAAGTGTTGCAACAGACTCACACTATATAACTGAAAAGAGAATGAGACAGTAAGGGAGAAAGAGAGAGTTTAGATACATCAGTTTCAGAATCATGGACAGATGCATAAAAAGCTCTAAATTGGTTACACTGTTGTTTTTGCAGCTTAATGCTGAAATCTGTGTTACTGATGTAAATCTCAGTTACAAAGTGAAGCTGAAAAGCACAGAAATAGGCCTCTTCCTTCACAGTTCTCTCCCTCGCATGCTTGATGTCATATACAAATTTTGTGTTCTATTAAAATATACAATGCTTCTCATCTTGTAAAACTGTAATGTCTCTTCTGCCATTACAATCCAGAATAAACTCATACAAGTCTTAGGAGATACAACAAATCCATTTCCCATCATGTGCAGTGTATACTGTGTTCACCTTGCTACTTAACGTACCTGATTTGATTTTTCGGTTTCATATTCCATACCGGTATATTATGTAACTTGTGTGTAAAACTACTTCAGATTGGGACTTCGTTTTATAATGCTTTTGTTCTGTTCTTATACAGTAGGGATGCAGTCCTGACAGGTGTCTCAGTACTGCTGCATTGTATTAGATTGCATGTCCTTCTGTACGACTTCTTTGCTTACTTACAGCCACCCAGGAATCAGAAAAATTTCGAACACCAGTCTGTGAAATTAATACATACCTAGCAGCAAAATGATGCATGCTAATATTGCAATTAGGGCTCCCATGCTGAGTCCGATGGGAAGTACGTATGCTTCAACGTTACAGGACTGGACAATACCATCGCTGCTGCAGCCACAGACGCGAATAGTGAGAGTGCTAGTGCTGCTCATGGGAGGGTTCCCACTGTCGCTTATTACGATTGGCAGTAGATACACTTCTTGCTTCTGCCGGCTGAAGCCACTATGCTTTGCCAATATGCTGAGAGTATTATCTGAAAAAGGGAAAATTTGCATTGTTTCATCACATAGAATAACTGCTAAAACCACAGCTTTTTCTTAATGCATTCAGAAAACCCCTATACGAACAGATATGCACTTTATTATACTCATTATACCAGGAGCGCATGACACAGAAATCCTTCCCCTTTCTGTCTGGCTGCCCATGCCCCAAGTCAGTAAGCGCAACATACACATTTTCTTGTGTCATGTGGTATGACTGTAATGGCAACCCCTCAAATTTCTTCTCTGCATTCATCCCATAGATGTCTTCCCATCATGATTCATCACTATTTTTCAAATCACACAGTCATAAAAGTTCAACCAGTACAACAAAGAGAGAAATTAAATGTTAAAGTAACTCAAGTAAAGCACATTAATAAATTAAAACAAATGTTCTATGCATTATAAGCACAAATTACACAATATTTTGTCCTGCTATAAAATATTCTTCTTTTTTATTGATGAGCAGTATAAGGACAAACAAAGGAAAGGCTGAATGTCTTAAAAGTTTTAAGCCTAATTTTCATCAATCTAAACATTTATTGGGCCTCAATGATCAAGACAGAACAAACCAAAACAGAATGTGTCTCCTATGAAGGCAGCCAGAGGAAGTGAGTCTAGGACATTCTTACCTCTTCACACATATGCAGATACTTAATTTTAGAAACATTCAGAGGCATCTGACTACATGGCATCCTACCCAGACATAAGGTTACACAATTAAAACCTCTCACAGTCACTCTGTTCTCAGTTCACTATCAAAATTATTACAAGCTGATTTTACCTTAGGTAATCCTATAGATTCTATTGTGTACAGTTATAAGAATCATAGATTCTAGCCATTTAACCACACACTATCAAATATCAGTGATCTTGTATGTGCCCAAGCGCTCAGGTATAAACCATGATTAGTGAGCATGTCAAATATTGAAAACACTGATTTATTTACATACTTAAATATTCACTGTTGTTTTAATTGCTTTATTCTGTGGAGTAAAAAAAAATAATTCAGTATTATGAGTTATAAACTAACAGAGTGCATATTGAGTTTTACTAGTCTGTTTTTTGTGTTCTTTCATCAAAAATAACACCACAAATTAAAAACATTCTGACAGGCACACAGAACTGGAATGCATGTGTGTGTTTCTGAGGAATCCAATGACAATTTGAAAATAAAGCTGCACATCATATTTGGGAGAAGGAGATGGTAGCTCCTTTCATTAACCTCTCTTCCTCTGTGCTACCAAAGTTAACTTTCCTGAAGTATCATGAACAAAATTAAGCCTCTTGATACTTTATGCCATAAAACGGGCACATGCAGTTACTAAATGCCATTCCATGGAAGGAAAGAAATCACTGAGTTATGTGGCAGGCATAAGGAAAAGAAGACTTGAAAGACAGGCAATGTTCATATGACAGATACAACAAAGACCCAATTCTTGAGTTTAATCCAAAAAAGGTACCTGAAGTGCATGACAACATGTGTATGCATATACATATAGTAACTGTAAGAAAGCTTTGTATCTACTTTGATCTTGGTGCTGCTCATGTATTCACCTGAAAACATGAAATAGTTTAGAAATGTTTAATTTGTACTGTGATCACCAGGAACATTTCTGACAGCCCATGGTATCTGTGCAGCGTGTATCACTGCCCCTACACAAGAGACAGATGTATGCTCAAAATAGCTGGCACCCTATGAACTGCAAAGACTGAGGTAGATGGAGAGAAGGAAGAAGGGGAAAACACTCATGAAGCCAATACTGTAAAGACATTTTTCACATCCATTAAAAAAAAAAAATCTAAAATGCAGTATTTTCTTCTTGAAATCCTTCATAGTAAGGAGGCATATTAATAAGGAATAAAAGTAGTTACTGAATATATATGATTAGAAAATGGAACATTACTAAATTTTATCATATCCTGAACCTATATCAAGACATCAATCAGTAGATAACTCCTATAGTTAAATAATTACTGCCATAAAACAAAATATGAAGAAAAATTATTTAAGCACATGGAGTAATTGTCTATACAAGAGAAAAAAGAAGGCTTGTTTTCCCATTCACCGACTAAGAAATTGAACTTCAAGTAGTCTCCTTCTAAGTTCAGGGTCTTTGATTTCGCAGTCTCACTGTATCGCTTCCATGGTGAAATCACCTACCAATCACACTTATGTAGCCTAGTGAGCTTCTTACTATAATTTATATTGCAGGTTATGTAATCATTTTAGCATTTTTCGTAGCATTTAGAGTACACAACACATGAAGATCAACCTAAAAATCAACTGCTTTATAAAACTGTATAAATATGGTCACTTCATAATACCTTCACAGAACAAAAAGGATTCCTAATGATTTTTCTTCCCAGGAATCCTGAGTTTTTATCTATTCAAGTCAGAAACAGTCACATCAACACTGATGGCACTGGAGCTAAATAAATAGTCTAGTCCTTCCTTGTGCCCTTTTTAAAATTAAAGGAAGCATATGTGCTTACTGAAGATAAATTTCAGGTATAAGCTCTTAAGAGTTCTGACAACTCAAATAGGAGCAAACTCCTTGGTGATACCCAGTGTTATATGTGCCACTGTGATGCAGTGGAAAAGTCAAGTATGTTTTAAGTCAACAATTAGCACACATTTAGAATTGAGCAAAAACTGCACTCCTCCTTCTTAGCTGAATATGTCAGAGATTTAAACACACACACATGAAGTTAAAGCACTTCCAGTGTCATAGTTGCTGTCTAGCTGAACTGCAAGGAACAAATTATTTATGTTAGTAAAATAGTATTGTAGCTAAGATTTCCTGAGCATCAGTGTGTGTAGCTTTACCAAAGTAAGAGTGACTACCATAGCTACTGAAATGTGTAAAAGGTACATTTTTTCTACCCGATACCATTCTTTTCCTCCTCCACACTCCCCCATTTTCAAACACTGAAAAATAAATTTATCTGTCCATTTGGCTTTCTCCTGAAAAGTTAAAAATATCTCAGCGTAAGGTGCATCCTTAATTCTTTTGCTTTAAACTTTCAAAGGAGAAAAAACTGTGTGGGGCTCAATTTCCAGCTGTTTCCGTCTTTGAGACAAATCCCACTCAGAAGTGTCACATCTGTAGTCATTTACTCAGAACTCCAGACACACAGTTATATTACACAGTGACTTCTTGTGCTCTAGAAATCTGTACTCATACAGCCTGTTCTTTCCTATAAGCCTGGTATTGTCCTTCTCTGTCCAAGCTGGAGGAAAGGATTGATATGCTGAGCCCTAGCATCCCTGCCCTTTACAGATATGCAAAAGAGATAAGGCACCTGCTTTAGGAAGAAATGGAAAAAGAAGCTGCTCTTGTTGGCGACAGCTTCAGATCCCTTCCATCTTTCTGACACACTCACTGCTACTCTGCCTGTTCTGGAAATTCTAATAAGCCAGAACCAGAGAGAAAAACAAAGAGTACCATAAAGAAACAAATAGAAGAGGGCAGGAAAAAACAGGAAGAAGGAGGAGGGATGGAGAAAATAAAGTTCCCATTTTGCCAATCAGTGAAGCTGTGCTGAGTATAAGAAACTACCTGGTACCAGTAATGGTTATCAATTGAAGTTCAAAACATATCAGATAAGCAAGATATTTGGGACATTAGCTGAATTATTTAAGTGTAAGAGAAGCTGTAATGTTTCAGTAGTTAGTATTTATGGAAGAAGAGATGCAAGACAAGGAGAGGAGAGAATAAACTTTCCTTTTATTAACACAATTTTTTTGGTGTTAAAAACTGCTGTGTTGGACTGAAGTTGAATTTGTTGTGCCCAGGAAGAAAGTGACAATCAGTAGTAATCAATAGGAAAAGCAAAATGAAGTGACCAAATTGTTTTGCCAGTGGGTGGCAAGTACTCAATTTTGCCTTGGGAATTTTGTTTAGCAACAAATTCCTTCCCCTTTTTTGCTATGGCATAAAATAAGTATACCTTGGTCTTGCTGGAGATGTGACTTCTGGGTGAAGAACAATAATTCTCTACTTGATGCTTTAGGGGGTTCCTAGAACTTGAAAATAAATCCTAGCAGTTGATTAGCAATAAACTCATTTTATCTGATCTGCTTCCTCCTTTCTGTGGACATTCCCTTTATCCATAGCTGACAGTGGGAATCTCCTCCAGGAACAACCTCCAGCACTGCTGCACGCATTAACTTGGCAGCAGGTGCTCAGCAGGAGAGGGGACAATCACTTTCCACTCATCTTCCCAATTAACCCGCTGATCCTTCATTATAGCGCTGTTCAGGTTATTTATTTATTCATGCTACTTTTAGCAAAACAAGGAAAATTACATGCAGGAAAAAACCTCTCTCTTAATAAAGCTCTGAGGTAACCTGCCAGAGGCAAGCAGAGACACTGAGTCTTTACCTCCAGTCAGTGAGGCACATTCAGGTGGTCCTTTGACGTTCACAATCAAAAGGAGCCTCCCTGAATTCCCTACCCTTGCATGTGGGGAAGAGATTGAAGACGTTTCATTGAAATGCCAAAGGCCTTTTCAATGCCATTTCACTGACGATGTACCAACTACCCAGGATGGCCTGGTAGCTGTATTCTGTCCTGCAGGCTTAAGGAATAGTGTTAAGTGATCTTAATAATTGTCTTGTCAAAATTTTTTGCATCAGTGTAAGGTCAGAGTGACACAGCTCCAGGAACATATAACTACAATTTAGATCTAGAGCTCATTTTTAACTTTTTTAAACATAAAGCCAAATCAGTCATTTAGATCACTGGGTGACTCTCAGTTTCTGAAGTTTACAAGCAGATTTGTGAAACAACCATGAAAGAGGCTGTTATGGGAATATCTCCCTCACAGCTGGAACAAAGAATGACAATGCAGAGGTCTTTGTAAGATGCCCGGTGTGATTTCTAGACAAAAGTAGTTTGAATAATCACAACTGAGAACATGCTTTCCACAGAGACACGTGCTTTCTGCAGATTCCCAACTGTGCTCAAGACCCCCTGATCTCTTTTGA